CCACGCAGTCTGCGCGATCTGCGTGTAGGGAGAGGTGGCCCTGTTACTGTATGATAAAGTTCTGCTGCAGCGTGTAGGCTACTCAGTGTGTTATAAAAAGTTAGTAGGCTACCAGTCGTCTTTACGGGCTTTATGAAGCAGAAACAGCCGACACCGATCAGAAAACATGTTCTGTGTTTCCGTCTGAACCGAGAGTTGCTCGTGTTTTCACTCGTTGTTTAATCTCTAAAACTCTCTTAAATGAAGATATTTACTGACACGACTTTTTACAATGTTTATATGAGTGATTCTACAATTTAGGGTACATTCCATGTCCATTGATGTCCATTGATGATAATTATAATTATTCTAACTATTTTCTCCAAAAATATCATATTTTGCCTATTATTGGAAAGCATGTTATAATATCACACAAACATTATGTGCATCCTATGCTTTATTTAGCTTGAAATGTGTCATGATGTTCTTAAATTGTCAGTTTTTGCTCTGTCCGTTTTTCAGTTGAGGGTGTCTTGGATTCAAAATAATGAATAAAAACCATTAAAGTAAATAAAAAAAATTATTCATTTATTTCAAAAGTCTAAATACTAAAGAATAATAACATATTTTTCATTGATTTCCTCCTTTAAATAATTTAAATATCTTAATATATGAATGTCCGCAAAAGTTCTGTCAACTATGTTACTAACAGAACTCCCCTCTTTAACTCAAAAATGGTTTGTCCCAATACCATTTCACCAGTATCACATGATGCCAGGTTCCTCTTTGGCAGACATTTTGATGGTGGTGATTGTCCTCTAATTTTTTACAATATTTTATGTATAATAGCACATTGTCAATGAGTATATTAATTGACCATCAACAATGTTACGTACATTGTTATGGTTTACAATTGTTTAATGATTTTAATTCAATTATATGTGCAAATGTGATGTTAACCTGTTCAAGAAAATGACATGTGGTCATCCAGGCAAGGCCTACCATTGAAATGATGGGTCAAAATAGGGAAATTGTCAACTAGGTTACCTGTCAACTAAGTTACCCAGTACTGTAATAACTGTAGTAACTTAGTTGACAGGTAACCTAGTTGACAATTTGTAGGACATGTAGACGTCATTACACATCATTATCAATGGAATTTTGCACTTCTGCCTTGAAATGAACATAGTGCTGATGGTTAATAATGTGTCCAGTCAACTATGTTATTTGCGTCAAATGTTTGACTTTCATTGTCAACTATGTTGCACCTCATTTTTTCAAATTTAAAATATCTAAAATAGTGCTTCTGATATCCTTTATAGTATAATGTATATCTACACAGGTTGGAGTTTTACATGACATCTCTTAAAACTATCAAAATGACCTGTATGGTAGTTTTATAATACAAAATATCCCTAAACGTAATGACAGTGCTGAACATATCACATGAAAAAACAAAACTTTAATACAATTATTTTTTAAACTTTAAAAAATCTTTGGATATATGGTAGAATAGACTCAAGAGCCTTTCAAATTTGATTTTACTTGAAGTGCAGGACTTAATCAAATGATTGTAATGACATCAAGTTTGTCCGTAACATAGTTGACAAACTGAGTAGTGAAAACATCCTTTCCCTTCAAATAAAAAAATAAATAAAAATGTTTAAGCTTTGCAACTAGTGGATATGTTACACTGAGGAATATACTAACTTGAACCACTGATTGTTCTATTGAGAAAGAACACTTTCTTTGTACTGTTTTGTTGATGTGAAATGCACCCTAAATTATAGAATCAGTCTTATATCGTGATTCCTTATTCGAAATAAAGTGTCGAGGCGCCATTTCAGATATCAGGAAACGACCAAGCGGACATGTTTTGTCATGTCAGCCCTTTTTCAATTCTAATGTTCTCCGCCCCCACTCCTCGCCTCGATGTCGAGGAGGAGAACCGAGGAGAGAGGAGTGGAAGCAGCAGGCGTTTTAGGCCCAATTCCAAACCACACTCTACCCACTCAGTGGCGGAGTGACACTCATAGCTGAATGAGGCTTCCTCCTTTCAGAGGGAGGGTGTAAATACAGCAGCAAGCTTTGGGAGTATCTCCCCTCTCCGGCAGAAACAAGAAATGAATAAACTATAGGTAGCAACGGTTTCAAATAAGCGTCTCATGGACAAACAATAAAAATGAATAACTAAAATAAAACTCCAAAAATATTTCATTGTGTTCCTTTATTGTAAACCTCTCTTAGTTTTAAACCTGGTGTTTATAAGCTTCTTAGTTTTTGCAACAGTCCCTGTAAATATGCACAACTTTATAATAAAATGCACACATTTACCTTTTTCTAAGTAAAAAAAATATGAGGTTACCATGAAGTTGTTAACATCTGTATGACAATATGAAATGTCTATCTTGTTTGGCAGTTTACAGTAAATGTTTGCACGGAACTATTTGTAAACAGCGTGTTTCCTGACGGACACACACAGCGTTGAGTCCGGTCAGGTAGTGCAGCAGCTGACGTCAGGACCAATGCAGACTCTCTGTTGGAGGGCTTGATAACCCACTACCCCTCAACACTTGTTGGTTTGGAACGACACTTGATGTGGTGGACCCTGCGCTATTGTGTAGGGGTCAGGGGCGGTTTGGAATTGGGCCTTAGAGAAATGAGAAATCCTCTCCTCTGAGCTGTAATTTTAAAACAACGTCCATTAATGATGACAGGAGGCACGTTTATAATAAATATATTTTGTATTTATTTTAAGATCTTTTCATACAATCATACATATTGGGATCATTTGTATTAATGTGGACCGGAGGGAGAGGGTGACGAGCATAAGTTTCACTTTCCTTTTTTATTTCAATTCCAACTTTGGTCATGAAGAATATGTTTCTCTGTTGTCCCCGTTCATAAAGCATAAAACAACAGCATCAGAGCACGGTGCAGAGTCTCTAGATGAGTTTACAGTAGTCCCTCGTTCTTATTAAACATCCATGTTGTAGTCCGCTGTATAGAAAACTGTAGTTTCCATAGTTTCCCCACAGCAGCAGATGCACATTTATGACCTCCGCTGGCGCATCATAAACACGTCGGATAGTGAAAGTGCAGTCGATTCTCTAAAGCACCGCAGTCTCTTCTCCTAAGTCCTTTTGAATTCTCCTATCCACTATCCCTTAACCCCGTGACGTTTCACTCAGAGGTCAAGGAATAGACGATAGGGTTAGAACTTAGGAGCTGATCTTTGGACTATTCAACTACAGCCTCTATGATGCACCCTCTCGTGACATCACAAAACACACACCATAAAAGATGAGTGTGCTTTAGATAAAGCACCACAGTGTGTAGTTGGTTGGACAAAGTGTCTTGTACTATAAGTGAAGTGCAAAAGTTTGGTTTTGATAAGTGTTTATGTAGTTTTGGGTGCAGTGCTTCATTTTGCAAGATATATGAGGTGTTTTGCACTTTGGGTGTGTGGTTTTGTGAATTGTGTTTAGTATTTTGACAAAATGAGCCCTGTTGTCAAAAAACGTGTTTTAGCAATTGAAAAAAACTGTAATATATATCAGGCTACAGCCATATTTATTATGTGAAGCACTATATGGCTTTAGAAAAATATAGACTCCGTGTTTGTAGATATCTACTAAAACCTACAAATAAAGAGTGGAATGTAGGCGTTATATATTATTGAGTGATATATATTATACACACTGCTCTGCTTTCTGCACGGACCTCAGCAGCTGTTCTCACTGTAAACATTGCGTTGCGATTAAAGCAGTTAATACAAAATAAAAAGTAGCCTAATATCCAGGGGATGCAGTATGTAGATTTGTCATTGGTTGAGATCAGTCAAGTCTTTTATTCATCACTGTGGCCGGAAATACATCCCCGAGGATAAGGTTATAGCTCCAGAGAGCCTCCTCGATGCTCGATCCTCGACCCTCAATGCGCATTTAGAGAAATTAGATGTCCTTCAACATGGCACGCTGACAGCGATTTCAGGGTCACTACCAGAGGACAGAGGAGGTGGAAATGTGTCAATTGAGAAAGGGCTTAGGTCTTCAGTACTAACGAGGAAATATCCTTCCTACATTGAAGAAAAAAAAATACATGTTTTATCTGTATCAAGACTTTTAGCTTATATAACCAGAGGTAGGAGAAGTAATCAGATTTTGTACAAGTCCTATATTCAAAATGTTCCTCAAGTAAAAGTAGAAAAGTATTCTCATCAAAATATAGTGAAAGTAGCGACAGTAAAAGTAGTCATTGTGCAGATTGGTCCATTTCAGAATAATATATATGATATGTTTTATAATGATTGATCATGAAAGTGTTCTCAAAGCTGGTAAAGGTGCAGCTAGTTTGAATGACTTTGTATACTGCAGGGTAGCTTGTGGATTTACTCCAGGTGGAACTAAAGTCTGATTTAACACTTGATTATATTTCACATCATTCATCCACATCTGTGAAGTAACTAAAGGTACAAAATAAATCAAATAGTAAAAGTACACGATTTACCTCGGAATTGTAGTGGAGTAGAAGTAGTATAGCAACACATGGAAATACTCAAATAAACTACAAGTATCTCAAATTTGTACTTAAGTACTTGAGTACATTTACTTAGTTACTTCCCACCTCTGTATATAACACACGCAAAGACGCCATACACTTTACATTTTATATAGGCTATATATTAGTATATTTTTATTTTTCAAGATTCATAGACTGTCATGAACAATAGCTACAGCCTGGTTTAAATCTCAAGTCCATAACCCCTCCAACAGTGACATTCAAAATATACTTAAAGAAGTTTACTGGTGCAAAACAGTTTTTGCAAGTGGTGCAAGTAAAGTTCTGGAATAATTCACTGTACATGTGAAATAGAATAAACAGTGTTACAACTAAACTTAACCCAAAAAGTAAGGACATTTGTGTTTGGTAGATTATTTCTTTGTTGTAACAATGCTTCCTGGCAATACATCTTATACCGTTGGAAAGCCTGTTTTCTTATCTTTCAAGTGGTGCCACATTTGTGAGGAACAAGCATTTGTGGGATGAGCAGCAGAGCTGAGCGCCCATGAAAAATGTGACAAATCTGCTCTGCCAATGCCAGACAGCAGCCACTCTCCGGTCTTGTACGGCTGCCAGGAGCCTCAACATGTGGAGGAACATTATGTTCAGATCACTGGAACCTCAACATGTGGAGAACATTATGTTCAGGGTGAGTCCAGATTCTGCCTACAGCACATGGATCCTAGGGTCACAGTGTGGAGAAAACGCAGAGAACGCTTTGCTGATTGCTGCACCGATAGAGTAGGAGAGGATGGGATGGCCTGCAGTCCTGACCTCAACCCCATTCAACCCCATTTTGGGATCAACTTGGCCCTGCTGTCCGCTCCAGAGTGACCAACACAACCACGTTGGCTGACTTGGGACAAATGCTGGTTGACGAATGAGATGCCATCCCACAGCAGAGTGTGAGCAGGCTGGTGACCAGCATGAGGAGGAGAGGCTGTTGTGGCTGTGTTTGGTTCTTCCACATGCTACTGAGGCTGCTTGTTAAATTAATCAATTGTTAATAAATAAATTGTTGCCAGTATGTCTTGTTTCATCAGGCTTCAATCATCCAATCCACCAAACAACACCAAACTAGAGTCAGCAGCAACAAAAAGCTGTTTGGCATTGGCAGAGGAGATTTGATTCACATTTTTCATGGGCGCACCCCACATACTCAGCTCTGCTGCTCATCCCACAAATGCTTGTTCGTCACAAATGTGGTACCATTGGAAAGGTAAGAAAACAGGCTTTCCAACTGTATAAGATTTATTATTATATTATTATATTAATAATTTATTACTATTATTACCAAAAGGTATTGTTGCAAGAAATAAATCATCTACTGTATCAAAAACAAATGTCCTTACTTTTTGTGTTAAGTTTATTACAAAACATACTGTACAGTGGAATAAAACACTGCATGTAAAGATAATAATAAGGATAATTATTAATATCATTATAATAATTGCTGCTATGTCAACATTACAGCATTTGTATGCCAATGTGTTTTTAAGATGATGAGTGTGATTTATACTGTGATTTTCAGTCTTTTATACTGGTTGAAAGTATTCCATGTTTATGATATTGAAATGTATTATGTGCATCAATGTTATCATCATTATTATATAAGTGTTTATTGTAGTTTTTTATTTACTTTTTAAAACGTTTTATTGTTTTATGTAAATAATAATAATCTTAATTTCTTAAGAAATATAAAGATGAAGCGACCCAGTACTGCCTTTTTTCAACACACAAAAGCCAACATCAAAGACTGGTTTTATATATATATTAGGGCTGTCAGTCGATTAAAATATTTAATCGCGATTAATCGCATGATTGTCCATAGTTAATCGCAAATTAATCGCACATTTTTTATCTGTTCTAAATGTACCGTAGAGGGATATTTTTCAAGTTTTTAATACTCTTATCAACATATGAGTGGACAAATATGCTTTATATGCTTGTTTATTATCATTTGAACAATGACAAATATTCTCATGAATATTAAACACAACAACCTGAACATTACAAATATTCGCCTCCTGTCCCACTGTCTGGCTACCTGCATAAAGTCAAGTGCTCGGCGCAGTTATCGGCGAAATGTCGCTCCTCTGTTTTCATTGAAACAGCTCCTTATATCCGTTAGCACAGCTAGCTAGCACCAGATGCTAACAACAACAACAACAACAACAACAACACGTAAGGTGTGCCTCGCTCGCGCCACACATACACACTCCCTCCCGGTCCTCCCGATGGCCAGTCCGGGCCTGCCGGTGAGCGTGGAAGTGTGGTCTGCCACAAGCGGGCGGCAGGAGCGGGGCTGTCAGCATCAGCTTGTCGATGGTATTTTACACTCGATGCGCTCTGAAACTACGGCGGCCGAGGACAAAAAATACACATGCGTTAATCGCGTTAAAATAATTAGTGGCGTTAATTTTTTTTTGCGTTAACGCGTTATTAACGTTATTAACGCCACGGCTGTCTATTTTGGCGCGAGGCCCTCCCGAAACTCGATGGGCTGTCTTTGAGCCGGCCACTCCCAGCTCAGGTGTAGCTCATCAGCAAATAATCACCCCACAGCACTCGAACCTGCCAGAACAGAACCCCTAGTTGTGTGGAGGGGTCGTCACAATACATACAGTCAGTACTGAAATGAACCGATTTTCCGTCAGATTATCTAAAATGCAATTATTTTTCCTTTAGCTTCTCGTGCTCAGGAAAGCTGTTTCAAGAAGAGCGCAGTATGGCGACTGCAGAATCAGGTGAGTGCAGTCATATATGTCTACTCTGGATAAAAGACTGTCTCTGTCCTTGAATATAAATGAGTGGTGTCACAAAAAAATGTGATTCTTTAATTATCATGATTAATCACAAGTTTAAAATGCTAGTATTGACTTGTATTTTGGGAGCAGATAAACCAAAAACAAGTGTGGTGTTTTAATAAAGAAATACAGCTGCTTGGCTGTCCGGGTCACTTTCCGGATTTCTTCTCTTTTTTGTTCATGTTGTATTCTGGTAGGTTTTCCATGTGTCTGTTTCCTATCTGGTTCAATGTTGTAGACCACTGTACTGTCTATTTTAAATTACATGTAATTAATAATACAATTGTTTCCATTAACAGATAAACCACTTCCTCTAAAGCGCATTAGTAGCTATGAGTTGCTGCCCCCTGACAGTAAGTAAAACTGAACTGTGCTATTCTGCTATTAAGAACACCTGAGTGTTCAGTATTTTGTAGGTAAAATCTGCTGTAATGACAAAACCCCTTAGGTTAAACAGCAATCAAACTATACATAAATACATGAAAATCTGCATGTAGTTGCCTTTTCTAACTCTTTGTATTTCACAGTGTCTGAGCTGAGGGTTGTTCTGCTGGGGAACAGCTGGTGTGAGAGGAGTTCAGTGGGGAACATCATACTGAGAGGGACTATGTTCAACACTGAGGAAGAACCAGACTACTCTATGAGAGTCAGTGGAGAGCTGGATGGGAAAAGAGTAGTTGTGATCAACACCCCAGATCTGCTGCACGCCAACATCTCTGAACAGAAACTGACAGAACATCTGAAAGACTGTGTGAGAATCTCTGAACCTGGACCTCATGTGTTCCTGCTGGTTCTACAGCCTGAACACTTCACTGAGGAACACAAACTGAGACTCTGCATGGTCCTGAAACTCTTCAGTGATCAGTCATTTAATCATGCACTGATGCTCATAGCATCACCCAGCGAGGAGGGTTCAGGTTTAATGGAACAATACATGGGACAACCCCCATTACAATACATGATCAGTAGATGTAGATACAGATACTTGAAGCTGGAGAACCTTCAACATCCAGAGCTGTTAACACGCTTGGGTCAAACTGCAAAGGAGAACAATGGAGAGCATGTGAGCTGTGATGTGTTCGAGGACACCACGGCTTCCTTACCGGTTGATCATCAAAGTCAAAAACCAAAGGGAACATTGTTTCCTATCACAAAAGCTGTTCTATTTGCTGGTAGGTGAAGGACAATGACAACTCTGTTATTCAAATCATACATAATTAAATTAGAACACTAAGCTGCAAAATAATGATGTCCTCTTTTACAGGGCTGGGTGGTTTCGAACCAATCACTTCACCATTGTTACCCCAAGGGTTGACCACTGTGACTAATTGTAAGTAAATGTATTGTTAAAGAAATACTCTCATAATGTCAGTGCTTATCATGTATTGGTATAGCATCTTTTCTCCAGTATTAACCGAAACGCATCCCACAACTGGATAAATGCACTAAATCCATTTCAACCAATGTAACTCTCCCAAAAAAAGGAAGTTGTTTTTCTGCTTTCATGTCATCTACAGTCTATAGTTGGTAGTTACAGTGATATATTAAAAATTCCATAACAATGTTGAGGAAAAAAACATTTATATTCACTGTCAAGAAAATAAAAACAGAAAAGGTCATTTATATAGATATATATATATATATATATATATATATATATATATATATATATTTATTATAAAATCTGTGTGCTGTTTCGTACCGTGTTTTATTTATTTATTATTATTTATATTTCATAAATTGTTAATACACAAAATTACTGGAGAATATTTTGTGTAAGCACAGTGTAATGATTTCATTCTGTATGAGGTAATGTTATTTAATTTTTCTTCTGTTATATTACAGCATCTGCATTCAGGATTGTGCTATTGGGAAAAAGTGAGGACAAACAAAAAAAGATTGGTTACTTTATCACAGAGGGCAAAGGTGTTCGTTTCCAAAATATTTTCCCCATCACACACTGTGTGACAAACCATGGAGAGTGGAAGGGAAAACAGGTGGAAGTAGTGAAAACTACAGGCATGTTCAGTCTATCAGAGGAGTTAGTGAGAAAAGAGGTGAAGAGCTGTGTGAGTCTTTGTTCTCCTGGACCCAATGTCCTGCTGCTGTTAGTGAATCCTTCTGATTTCACTGATGAGAACAGACAAAGACTGAAGTTCATCCTGAGTCTGTTTGGTCCAGAAGCTTTTAAACACTCAATGGTCATCATAACCAATAATGATAAAAAGACTAAAATAGTGGATCAGCTGCTTGCAGACTGTAGAGGAAGACTCTACATCATGGTTCACAACAACCGTGACTCATTGATGGATACGATTGAGAAGATAGTTCATGAAAACAAAGAAACATGTCTCGGCTTCACTGAAGACATCAAACCAGCTTTAAACCTGGTTCTGTGTGGGAGGAGAGGAGCAGGGAAGACTTCAGCAGCCAAAGCCATTTTAGGTCAGACAGAGTTTCCTTCAGTCTCCAACTCATCAGAGTGTGTTAAACATCACGGAGAGGTGTGTGGACGCCCGGTTTCCCTGGTGGAGCTGCCTGCTTTGTGTGAAAAACCTCAGGAGGAAGTGATGGAGGAATCATTCAGGTGTGTCTCCCTCTGTGATCCTGAGGGCGTCCATGCCTTCATCCTGGTCCTACCTGTGGATCCCCTCACTGATGAAGACAAGGGAGAGTTAGAGACCATCCAGAACACATTCAGCTCAAAAGTCAAGGACTTCACCTTGATTCTGTTCACTGTGGAGTCAGATCCTACAGCTCCAGTTGTTGTTAACTTTCTAAAGGAGAACAAGGACATCCAGGAGCTCTTTCAGAGCTGTGGAGGAAGACATGTTGTTCTCAACATCAAGGACCAGCAGCAGATCCCAGAGCTGTTGGATGCTGTGGAAGAGACGAGAGTCGGAGGATCCAGGTGCTTCACAAAGGACATGTTCATCAAGGCTCAGATGACGAAGGTGGTAGAGTTAGGTAAAACTAACAAAAGACTTCAAGCTGAACTGCAGGATGTTCAAAAGAAAAGGGAGATGGGAGATCATGATGAAAGTCAGAACAGAGAGTGTCTCAGGATGGTGTTGATTGGGAAGACTGGCAATGGGAAGAGTGCAACTGGAAACACCATTTTGGGAAAAAAACATTTTACATCATCTGTCAGCTCAAAGTCAGTGACCAAATGTTGCGAGAAAGCAACAGGAGAGATTGATGGACGTCCTGTCGCTGTGTTAGACACCCCTGGTTTGTTTGACAGGACACTGCCCAATGAGGCTGTTCAAGAGGAGCTTGTTAAATGCATCAGCTTGTTGTCTCCTGGACCTCATGTGTTCCTACTGGTGCTGCCGATAGGCCGATTTACACCGGAAGAAGAAGACTCTGTGGAACTGATCAAGAAATGGTTTGGAAAGAAATCTGGAGATTTCATCATCATTATTTTCACCAGAGGAGATGATCTGAAAAATACACCAATCGAGAGTTACGTAAAAGACAGTGATGACTCTTTGAAAAAACTGATAAATGACTGTGGAGGGAGATACCAGGTCTTCTATAACAACAATGACAAAGACCACATGCAGGTCAGAGAGCTGATGGTGAAGTCCAACAAAATGCTGAAGGAAAATGGTGGCAGCTGCTACACCTCAGAGATGTTCCAAGAGGCCGAGGCCGCGATACAGAAGAAAGTGGAGAAGATCCTGAAGGAGAAGGAAGAAGAGATGCAGAGAGAGAGGGAGGAGCTGAAAAGAAAACATGAGGAGGAAATGGAAGAAGTGAAGAGAAGAATGGAACAGGAGAGAGATACAATTCAGCAGGAGAGAGCCAAACAGCTTCAAGAAATGGAGGAAAAAATCAACAAGGAAAAAGAGAAAAGAGGAAGGGAAGAGGAACTTAGAAAGGAAAAGGAGAAGGAGAAGAAAAGGCAGGAAGAAATGACACGAAAGGAATGGGAGCAAAAACTAGAAGGAGAGTTGGAGCAGAGTAAAGCAAAGAGGAAAAAGGAAAAAGAAGACTGGGAGAAGGAGAGAGAAGAATGGTGGGAAAAACAAAGTCAAGAAAATAAAACGAGACAACATAACGAGAAAACAAAGCTTCAGAAGTTGCAAGATGAATACGAGCAGGAAAGAGAAAAACATGAAAAGAAAAGAAAAGAAGAAGATCTAAAGAGAAGAGAACAGGAGGAGAAGGAGAGAAAAGAGTTGGAGGGAAAATATAAGAAAGAACTGGCGGAGATGAAGAAGAAATATGAAGAGGAGGCAAGAAAACAAGCTGAAGAATTCAACGAGTTCAGAGAGGAATACTCCAAGGACTTTGCCGCCTTGGTGGAGAAGCACATGGAGGAAATAGAGGACATGAAGAAAGAGCATGAAAGACAAACGCAAGAGACAGGAGAGAGCCATGACAAAGACTACAAGCTGTTGCAAAACCTCTCAAAACACAAAGTAAAATATATACAAGAACAATCAGAAGACATGAAGAAAAAGCACGAACAAGAATTAAAGGAACTAAAACAAAAATACAAGGACAAGTGTTTCATCCTCTGACCTTAAGTCAGTAAAGAGCCAACGATAGCTTAATATAACTAAGAAGCATACATAACAACATATTTAAAATAAAAGTAGAAATTACACAAGCTACAAAATACACAATACACAGCAGTACAGGTTTGAGATAGCAGCCAGGGGAAAGTATTAAAGGTGGAAGTTTATATTGCACTGCTATTTACGCTCAATATATGTATATATTTTAATTTCATTTCATTATGCCTGAGATATATTTTATATTATTATTCAAATGTTAATTTTAAACTATATAATCAATTATTTCGCTTCAGGGAAGAAAAATAAAAAAGATGTGGAAAAAATGTTTTTTGTTAGCTTTTAGTCGGCTACTTTTAACGTGACGCACACAAGTGACAAGTAACTGTCATGGCGCAAAAACGTATCTCGGAATTCTTTCTCACTAAAAACGCTAAATCTGCTAAAAAGATTGAAATAGAAGATGCAGCGTGTAAGAAATTAAAATCAATGTTTAATGACGTAATTTAGTTTAAACATACTGTAAGCTTAAAACTGTTTTATTCTGAAAACATTTCATTTCCGGTTAGCATTGGTTTGTGGCTAACGTTGTTGCTGAATGTTAAATGAATGTACAGTTTATTTTGAAAAGCTTTATTGAAAGGCGTCTCCGTTGTTACAATGACGTCACTTCCGGTGTCACGTTAACAATTTTTACAGCCGTTAAAATGCATTAAATAAGTCATGAATGAGTGTATGAGGAGAAAAGGCGTGTGGAGTTATACAATGAACACACAACGTCTAAATCCTCTGATTTACGCAATATCGGACACTGAAGAACATGTGGCGGGAGGACCCCCTTTCGTCAGAGCCACCATTGAGAGGAGGAGCCAGGGGTCAGATATATACAGATGTCCTGGCTTGCTCGGCCTCTCGTCTCCCCCCTTCCAACATGGCGCTGTTTGTTTCAAAACCACGTTACTTAATTAAAGTACCCATTTGAACCTTTTCGAGTGTCTCTTATTTAACTTCCTCCTGGACGCGAGAACAACGAGCACAAATCAACAAGGGGCAGGGCATTATTAAGCAGAATCTGTGTAATATGTAGCCAGGAATTAGCAATGCCTTGATAGCCTACACTGTAAAAAAAAAAACGTTGTTTTTACGGTAAAAACCTGGCAGCTTTGTTGCCAGAATAATGATGTAAAAAATACGGTAAACTGTAAACAACTTTACAGAACAACGTGTATATTTTACAGTTTAAAACTGTTGTAATTTACATTTTAAATCTGTCATTTCAACAGCCCTTTTCTGCTGAATTAGCATGATCACGTTGCTATTAAACTGATTATTTCAGTAAGATTTACATGCAGTTGTTGTCTATTGTACATTGAATCCCATTCAATTTTACAGAAAAATACCAAACAAATAACACTGTTTAACTGTAAAAGCATCAGTGTAATGCTGTAATTTAACTGAATTTTCCCGCAAATTGTAATCAAAAGTTGTGTATAATTTAGTGTATTTTGCCGTAGTAATGACGAGTTTTACGGTGAAAGCAACATCTAAATACTGCAATTTAAATTTTCTGTAAAATGTATTTATTACAATTAAAATGCAGAAAAAACTGTTCTATGAATATCAATCTCAAATATATATATATATATATATATATATATATATATATATATATATAGCATAAAACCGCCTGTAAGGATTATTGATATATAAAAATGTTTTTCCTATACATTAGTCAGATTGAAAGATTTCATTTAAACTACACCTTCACTAAACCTTCGTATATATATGTTTGACTATTACCAGAAATGTGAAGAATGTAATCCAGGGTACACAGATTAAGCACTTAACATTTAAAATGCAAAGCTAGATAAACCTCAAGAGCCACTGTATTAAAAGTTGAAAAAATTCCAACAAGAACTTGCCTTTCCAAGAATTTATTATATATATATATAATAGCAGTGATCAAAAACATCTGTCATTTCTCAACATACATATTGGTAAAACATACAAACTAAGGCTGCACAATAAACAAACAGCTCACATTGTCCAGGAAATTCAAGCTGAACAAAGTTGAGAGGTTACTTGCATCACATCAAATGATTTATGGGAAATAATGTTTTTAAATATTTTAGTACTTTATATGTCTCATCTCTTATAGTGGGCACCTGTATAATATAATACTCGACTGTCACAGCCACAGACTGAGCTGTAACTTAGCCAAAATAAGGGATTGTCTTAGTTGAATACATGTTCATTGCTAAAGGAAGTGTGTACGTGATGAAGCTACAGTTGCAAAACACATGTGTGTGTGTCTAAGTGAGATAGGTGAAGAGGTAGGGTCAGCAGAGACCCTTCACTTCAGAAGCAAAATCCCAAGTGGAAAACAAAACAAAACCACCCAGTGGAGTGTAACACGTCAACATTTTTACACTCAACAGTGATGTCCTGAGCTTTTACAATGACCTTAAAAGAATAGTTTGACATTTTGAGAGTTACATATTGCATTTTTTTAAATTAGTTAAAAGAACATGAAAAAAAAGGCACTTCAAATTTTAACTACGATTTAAACAATCAAACAAACTGTAACTTGGGCACATCGCTACATGCCATTGATCTTACTGTCCATATTCAGACATCACGCCACTCATGGTCCGAAAGTTCCTGTATCAAGGTGAGGACTCTCGGGTTCACCTGAAGACGGGATGCACGTGTCTTCTTCACTTTGGTGCCCTTCTCTGGGTTGATGGACACCTTAAAATAAAAATACAAACAAACAACAGAATTAATAATAAAATAGCTTGCCTAACAACAAAAAAACTTCACATCAATCTTATTATTTTGAAGCCAAAATGACAATTATCTTAACCCCCAATTCACTGAAGCAGCTGCTTTAGATTTGTTGCAGTTTAATAAAATTAATTGTTGGATAAAGCCAATCCCAAAAAACACATACCTCTGGACAAACTCCAGGGTGGATGCCAGCTCTGACGGGTAGGCGATGTTGAAGCAATAATAGCTCCCAAACATCATGGACAGGGCAGAAACCAAGGAGGGGATGTTGTCCTGTACTATGTTTCGATCCACACTCAGCATGAATCGCCTTGAAGAATAGCATGATCGTCCTAAAAAAGAAGAAAAACACAATTCAAACTAAATTAAAACAAGACTTGTCTTCCTGAAATATTTCACAAAACAATTTTAGCACACATTTTAAGGTCTGTTAAATTGCTCACCATCAATACAAAAATGTATGTATGTGTATTTGCAGGTTAAGGGGAGATAAATGTAATGTGAATTTGACTTGCTTTTAGGGGATAGTTCATATTGTTTGAAGGGGGGTTGTAGGAGCTACAGTTTGGAGAAACAGAGAGGAGAACCAGCAGACAGCTAAGCAATGCACTGCTGTGGACATAGTTAAGCCACCAAAAAAACTAAAACAATATTACTCTTAGTGTATGCTATATTAAAGAATATTTTCAAAGCTCTACCTTGCTGTCAGACAGCTATACAGTCTGTTTCTGATAGGGACTGAAGCAGCAGGGTAGATTTGTGACAATATTATAAATATAGCGTACACGTAAACTGAATTTTTAGGTGGCTAAAATACGTTTCGCTGCTGCACCCATCCACAGCTTTACATACGTACCCGTACTCCTGCCTGTTCCTCCAAAGACATGCAAGTAATACACTGACTATGGATAAGTATCCATAAGCATCCAAACTAGCCCTTTACGAGCTTACAGTAACAAACAACATTGTGCAACATAAACGTCTCAAATTAGACAGAAAAGAGAGAAAGAAGTGGCAGAAAGAACAGAAAAAAGTAGACTGCCCGTTAACTTTGAACCCCCTCAGATGTAGCTTCAAACCCCCCACTTCACAACAGCATGAATTAAACGAAAATAAAGAGTTCAGCTTTTAGCATGATACTTCAATAACGTTACCAGACTATTTAAATTAACTCCCGGTCAGTAGACGTTATAACTATGACTGCAAAATGCACTCAATCACAAACAGAAGCTAGCATTGTCCTGACAACACACCGTTGTTTGCTTGCAGTTCGCGCCAACACATTTGAAAAAACACTTATGCAATGCAGAACATAAACCCTCAACGTTTTGCTGCAAAATGCACTCAATCACAAACAGAAGTTAGTATTGTCCTGACAACACACCGTGTTATAATTGAAGTTTGAAGAAAATAAACGGTTAGCTTACCAGTGCTACAGATGTGATCCTCCGCTCATGTGCACACAGCTCCGTGGTCCGTGGAAGGCAGACTTGAGACAGACTTGGCCGCGCGGTGCGCACTGAGCCGTAACCGTTAACCTGCAAAAAGTGGCAGCTCCCGCGATAATTAAATAGTCCAATGAAATAACAGAAACAAACTCTACTGCTCAGTAGGCGTGTCTCAGTTCAGCGGCCATTTCCTTCGGAGGCGTTCGATTACTGTTTGGGCTGTCTGCCGTGGGCTGCATTCCACTCCAAATAGCCGGTCAGCCGCAGAATCCAAACGCCAGCTGTTTTATGGATTCTCATTTAATTTCCAAGAATATCTCAGTACTGGGTTATTTCCAATTTCAAAAATAAACATATGTATTAAACAAATAGAAATAAGAAGTAAGTATATTATAGTATATTCAAGAATGAAAAAATATAAAAAAACATGATTTTAACACTGTCATGTTGTAATTGTAACTGTATTGTATTGTTTTATGTATTACAGTTTTTCTGTGTTCAAACCACAGTAATCTGTAAATTATACAATGAAATATAATTATTTTAACATATTCTTAATGTGAATTTAACAGTTTTGTTTGGTTCAGTACTTTACGAAATATTACTGTAAATTAAACACTGCTTCATTGTTTCTCTATTTACAGTTTTTTGATGTTGTGATTTTACAGCTTTTCCCTGTTAATTTCACGGACTTTTTTTACAGTGTACTTCAATGAATTTAAATTCCACATTGTTGGTAAAATAATATTTTACATCTTAATAGTGTGTGTGTGTGTGATCGCGCTTTTGTGCGTGTATATAGTGCCCATAATAGCGTGCACTGGAGTCCGTTGTTATGCACTGTGTGTGGTTTTGCTCGGTTTATGCCCCCCCCCGTGCGTGATTAGCACATCGGCCAGCACCTCAGCACCCCCACTCAAAATACCTTCCCGCGCCTCTGCTTTGTAGCGAATGAGAAGAGTTAACTCGCGTCGGGGAAAGCCGAATCATCAGCCGCTCCTGCTCCAGAATCCATGCAGGATTATTTTATTTGTTTGCTGTGGTTTTGTGTTCAGTTGTTCATTTAAAGCAGGGGTCGGCAACCCCTGGCACGCGTGCCAACATTGGCACGCGGCACCGTAACCAGTGGCACACTAGGAATAAGTCGAATAAGTGTGCAAAATATTTAAATTGTATTTTCGGATCCTGAACGAGACCGCCGCCAGAGCGCGTCTCCCTGTTACCTGCAGAAGGAAGCCATGCACGCAATGCAGCCCCGCTCTGTTTAACTCCAGGTGACTTTCTGCCGCTTTCCTCCGTGGTGCAGGGCTGATCGTTTCACCACGGAGGAAAGCACTTCACACATTGCAGTACCCATAAGGAGCTGTACAAATGCCGCAGTTTTTGCGTGGCTGTGTCTTTAGTTGAAAGCCCAGTGGCGATCTGCTCATCTCTCATTGAAATAATATGCTACAAAGGGGCGGACTGGCCATCTGTGTGTTGAACTTTCCTGTCGGCTCCCAGACCGTAGTCGAGGAGGGCAGAAGCAACCAGCTTCAGGTTCAATAACCCACTTTAGCTTAAATGACTGGAGAGAGGCGAGCTCTTCTTGGGAGGCCGTTGCATTTATTTAGCTGTTCTTCTGTTTCACAAAATACATCACAGACCTCTGTTTTTCTGCTGCCTCGTTTCACTTCCAGAAACATACACACACACGCTCCCTCACTGTCGCTCTACCGCTCTATCTATATTCATTCTGACTTTTCTACA